CTTTGTTTATTAATAATGTCGTAGTGGGTACACAGGCTTGTGTGTTTGTGCCCATGGCCCGGGCAGGGCCATCCCACGAGAGAGAGCTGGGAGGCCTTGTGTCTTGCTGCTAGGCCGCTGTGTGAGTGAGGCGGAGGCAAGTCTGGGCATACTGAAGTGGCAAGGCCTCTAGGTGGCAGCACCAGCATGGCGCAAAATATGAACTAAGCTGGCAGACAGCAGGGGCTGTCTGCGCAGACAGTACAGGCTGTCTACAGTGTGTGTGTGTGTGTGTGTGTGTGTGTGTGTGTGTGTGTGTGTGTGTGTGTGTGTGTGTGTGTGTATGTGACTCAACAATCAATATTTGCACCAATAACTCATTACAGTTGTGGCCGGGTGTGGAAGTGTGAATTGCTCATTACACTATACTAATTTGTTCATGATTGTAGCCATGTATAAATGTAAGTAACCATTCTTACAGAATTCATTACCTTTGTAACTTGTGAGCTCATTACCTTTGTACCTAGTTCAGCTATCAAAACTTTGGGGGCCCAGTCCCTGGACCCATTACGTACCTCTTAATCTGTAAATACCTTTGTAACTTGTCATGATTGTGACCAGACCTACCTGGAGTTCATTACCTTTGTAAATTGTGAGTTCATTACCTTTGTAAATTGTGAATTCATTACCTCTGTAACTTGCTCAGCTATCAAAACTTTGGAGTCCAGTCCCTGGACCAATTATGTACCTCTGTAATCTTTTGACTACCGCCCACAGGATGGGAATGGGGTGCATAATAAACATATTAAACTAACTAACCCCTCCATGGAAGATGTGTTCATAACATTGTATCAATCGCAGCTGCTAGAAAAAGGACAGGATGGATATTAGAACTTCAAATCTGATGGATGCAAGCCATGATGAACTTTAAGTCCATTTTCAATCATTACCCTTGTAACTTGTGAGTCATTACCTTTTACTAGTTCAGTATCAAAACTTGGACAGCCTGGACCTATTGGTCCTCATAGAGATTAAAACCTTGTAACTTGGCATGTTGACAAACCTACCTGGTATCTGAAACTTTATACATTTTGGCCTTCATAACCTTTGTAAATTGTGAATCTTAAACTGAATAGCTCAGCTAATCAAATTTGGAAGGTCCAGTCCCTGGACCAATTATGTAGCCTTGTAATCTTTCGACTACTGCCGACAGGATGGGAATAAGGGGTGCAGATATCATAATATTAAACTGATTACGCCTCCATGGAAAAGGGGATTATAACATTGAGTCAATCGCACGGCTTAGAAAAAGGAAAGGATGTGTAATGGAACTTCAAATTAGGATATGCCAAGCCCATGAGACGACTCTTAGGTCGTGTTCTATCTAGGTGGAATATTGGACACTTCCATGCCCTTTCAAGGAGGCTGAATTGGCTGACTTAAAAAAGTACAGGACAACTTCATGGGAGGGGCTGGGTTGATAACGGAAGGGGTAAACGCTTCATTATCTTGGAGCTTGAGTTCGATGATGTATTCCTTGGAACCTGGCGATGGGCATGTACATTTTCATAGTACCAATTTATCATTCTTGATATATCACCAGTACGAAATCAAAAGACTATCACTACGATGGCAAAACATGCCAAGAACAGGCCCCCACTAAAGCAGGGTTAAGACAATCAGTAAGTGTCAGGGGCCCAATACGTCGGCCACTGCCTCCCACATACATAAGTGGGATTACCAATAGACCCCTGGCAGTCTTCAAGCTGGCACTGGACAAGCACCTAAAGTCGGTACCTGACCAACCGGGCTGTGGCTCGTACGTTGGATTGCATGCAGCCAGCAGTAACAGCCTGGTTGATCAGGCTCTGATCCACCAGGAGGCCTGGTCACAGACCGGGCACACTCTCTCCAGGTAAACTCCAGGTTAATATCACATACCTGCAAGCTCCTCCCAAGAAGCTCATTGCTAGTAGTCCCTTAAATCACTTGTTAAAGCAACTGATCGAGAAGAAATTTCTCGCCTGGCTGGTAGTAATAAGTTATCACAAGTTAAATACACTGATGGATCTAAACAGGAGTCTTCTGGCAGGGCTGCATCTGAAATTGTTACCACCTCCCTAGTTAGGAACGATAATAAACTTGTTGAACTAGGCATAAGAATTAACAACTGGGCGTCTACACTGCAAACTGAATTGTTTGCAATCCTAATGGCGCTATAGCTAACCTATGGCATAAGCTTGACTATCATCATTACTGATTCTATGTCATCGAGTGCTCTTGACTCGTATAATGACTCCAACAACATGCTCATTGGAGAAACCAGGTACAGATACTCAAAAATCCGGGACAAAGGAATTAATGTACAATTGCCATGGATCCCATCATACTTTGGGTTACTCCCTCATGATAAAGTTGATATGTTAGCCAAGAAGAGTACCCGGAAGGAGAATGTAGAATATAACTTTGGTATATCTGTGTCTAGCATTAAGAATAATATTACGAGAGAAGTAAATAATGGAAATGATTGTTATAGGAATGCAGTTGGAAGGCTGAGTAGATCTATAACCCACTATGATAACATGAACGTAGATAAGTATGTTTATGGAACAATACAGTATGAACAGACTGACTGATGTTGTAATGGCCAGGCTTAGGCTTGGTTACAAGTACTTCTGACAGTTTGGGAGACACACAGATGATCAAATTAAATGCAAATTATTTGGTCAGGCATATGATCATTGTCTTGAACACTATGTGCTTAATTGTCCACTTACTCAGGAATACAGAGAGAGTAAAATAACCTATGTGACATGTCAAGATATCTTATTAATGAAAATATGATACCATACATACTAAGCAAATTTCCTAAATTTGCTTGTAACAGATAAGTGAACTGCAGATATAAATCCAAATGTACGTCTGTTAACCCTTTTGGGTCCTAGTTCCTAGGCCTTTTGTGTATCCACAGGATGGATATGGGGTGCACAATAAACTAACCACTTCGGTGGCAAAATCTAAGTACTACTTATGATAGGCATTATACTGTACTTATTTTTCCCCTGGCTACAATAAGTCACCTGTTAAATCCAGCCAAAGTGATAGAAGAACAAGAGTGTTACGCTTACTCAGTTTGTACACACTGATGCCCATCTTAACAAATGCAGTAGGAATTTATCCTTCCTCTTACAGCCTTCGCCCTCCCCTCCCATATCCCTTCACACCCTCCAACCGGCTTTCGTCCCCTCAACCCCTTTCCCCCATCACCCTCCAACACCCCCTCACACACTAACCCCTGCCCCCTGACCTTACAAACCTTCAACCCCTGCCCCCTGACCTTAACAGCCTTCAGCCCGTGCCCCCTGACCTTACAGCTTTCAATCCCTGACCTTACAGCCTTCAATCCCTGCCTCTGACGTTACAGCATTCAACCCCTGCCCTTTGACATTACAGCCTTCAACCCCTGCCTCCTGGCCTTACAGTCTTCAACCCCTTACTCTGCCCTCTCCATGGACTTGTATCACAACACGCTTTATCTGTCGATATCTGGACCATTCCAATATCGGCTCGTATGTAACTGCTCATAAATTGTGGAGCATTATCCATGCCCGTGGAGGCTCTACTAGGCTGGCAGGGCTCACCACATACCCGTGGAGACTCCACCAGGCTGGCAGGGCTCACCACATACCCGTGGAGGCTCCACCAGGCTGGCAGGGCTCACCATATACCCGTGGACACTCCACCAGGCTGGCAGGGCTCACCACATACCCATGGAGGCTCCACCAGGATGGCAGAGTTCACCTCATTCCTTTGGAGGGTCCACCAGGATGGCAGGGCTCACCTCATACCAGTGGAGGGTCCACCAGGCTGGCAGGGCTCACCTCATACCCGTGGAGGGTCCACCAGGATGGAAGGGCTCACCATATACCTGTGGAGGCTCCACCAGGCTGGCAGGACTTGCTGCATACCCTTGGAGGCTCCACCAGGCTGGCAGGGCTCACCACATACCCGTGGAGGCTCCACCAGGCTGGCAGGGCTCACCATATACCCATGGAGGTTCCACCAGGCTGGCAGGGCTCACCACATACCTGTGGAGGCTCCACCAGGCTGGCAGGACTCACCACATAACCGTTGAGGCTCCACCAGGTTGGCAGGGCTCACCAAATACCCGTGGAGGCTCCACCAGGCTGGCAGGGCTCACCACATACCCATGGAGGCTCCACCAGGATGGCAGAGCTCACCTCATCCCTGTGGAGGGTCCACCAGGATGGCAGGGCTCACCTCATACCAGTGGAGGGTCCACCAGGCTTGCAGGGCTCACCTCATACCCGTGGAGGGTCCACCAGGATGGCAGGGCTCACCATATACCTGTGGAGGCTCCACCAGGCTGACAGGACTTACTGCATACCCTTGGAGGTTCCACCAGGATGGAGGGCTCACCACATACCCATGGAGGCTCCATCAGGATAGCAGGGTTCACCTTACCAGTGGAAGCTGAGAAAGCAGTCATGAACACCCTAAAAGCTGTATACAGAAGCTTATTAGATGTATGTAAAATATATACCACTGAGAAAGCCTAAAAGTTAGATGTAGAAAGCGAGCATAGTAAAATGTACAGATGAAGAAAAAAGGACATGCTGTTGGAGTGTGAGCAAGGTAACATTTATGAAGAGATTTAGGAAAACCGTTTAGCCAGACTTGAATCCTAAAGGTAGGAGGGCCAGTGCCTGTGCTCTGAAGGAGGGGTGGAGATGTTGCAGTTGGAGGGAATCTGTCGGCATGTGTTTTCTTCTCTGGGTCACCCTGCCTTGACAGAAAATGGCCATTAAGAAAAATAATCACAATTAAAAAGTAACTTAGAGAAAATGAGTTTTTGGTGGGGTAATTTTGTTTTTTTTCTGTACTATATGTATTGTATAACTTTAATTTAGTAATAGTGATAGTGTGACTGATATTTTTGACATGCTGTTTAGGTGCAGCTTTCCATAACTAGATTTCATCTCATGATCTGCTCATTTCAGTGAATCTACCATACATGGTGCAGGAGATGCCAGATGAGTTGAACACTGAGCTGTCGGGCAACCCTCGGGTATATGTGTCGCGCCTGCCTTCCGGGAATCCAGCCATCAAGGGCTGGGAAAATTTTAATTACTACATTAACAATGCCAAGATCATTGATGCCAACCACATAGCTTTTAATGAGGAGGGCACCAAACAGGTAACCTATGTATTGTATTAATGATATACAGCATTAACAAGTGCATGAACAAGATATGTATTGGTTTCGTTATTTCCAGAGAGTATATCATTGTATTAATGGTATATAAACAAGACACAAACAACACTGATTTCATTATTTCCAGAAAGTATATCATTAATGATATACAATATTAACAAGTACTGTAAATGAACATGACAAGCACAACATTGGCTTTGTTATTTCCAGAAAGTTTCACCTGTACAGCAGGCTTCTTCAGTCAAATAGAGGTGAACACTTACATCTAGGACATATTTTTATAAATTCCTAAAAGATGTTACTATGTACCTCAAACACTACTCACCCTGTACTACTCTCTATTCTGTCTTTACCTAACTTTTGTATAGGTGCATGGGGATCAACAAGAGCAAACTACCTAAAACACATCACATCTCAAGTTTGCTATTAGAATGATCACTCGGATTGTAGACAACACACCCTTAATATTCAAAAGTTTAATCTTATTCTAACATACAAAACATCTACACATATTCTATATGCATACAGAACACTTAATGCAGATATCAACCCAATACTAAAACTTCTTGAAAACTTCAATAGAATGCACAGCACAATACAAGGAACAAATAACTAATTTCACACGTTTGATTCGGCATGAGTAGAAACTCATGCAAATAAAAGGACCAAAAATACAGAACACAAAATACAAGAATCAAAAAGTTCCCTCTCTGCCAAGTGCTTCAAAAACACATCTTGAATCTGACGTGAATATACGTAGATTGAATATAAATGTCTAACATATACTACATGCCTAATATATACATATCTAATGGGTTGTATATGCTGCAGCAAGGAGGAGGCTGGAGGCAGTGGAGATGTCGTGACTAAGGGCAATGTGTGGTGTAAATATCATGTAGAGAATTCATAATTTGGAAATTACGAGGCAGTGTGGGGTTACTAAATGTATTATTCAGAGGACTGGAGAGGGGTTATTGAGATGGTTTGGTCATTTAGAAAGGATGGAGCAAAATAGGATGACTTGGAGTGTGTATAAATCTGTAGTGGAGGGGAGGAGGGGTAGAGGTTGTTCTAGGAAAGGATGGAGGGGGGGGAGTAAAAGAAGTTTTGTGTGCAAGGGGCTTGGACATGCAGCAGGCATATGTGAGCATGTTAGGAGTGAATAGAGACAACCCGTTTTTGGGACCTGACGTGCTGTTGGAGTGTGAGCAGGGTAATATTTGTGAAGTGTTAGGGAAACCAGTAAGCCAGAGTCCTGGAGGTGGGAAGTACAATGCTTGAACTTTAAAGGAGGGGTTTGGGATGTTGGCTGTTTCGAATGACATCTAAACTGTCATATTTGAGCGCCTCTGCAAAGACAGTGATTTGTGTGTGAATGATAGTGAAAGTGTTTCACTTTTCGGTACCTTGCCTTGGTGGGAAATGGCTAATGTATTAAAAAAGAAAAAAAACTAATGCAATCTGCTTATCACTAAAATTGTCAATGCAGTTTTGTATCACTATCTCTTCAGATCAACATTAGTGTTTTAACATAGAGTTTAATTACTTACAATGGTCATTACAATTATAATCTAATCTTAAGATACCTTTATTATATTTAACTTAGCTTTCACATAGTCTTAATTCAATTATACAATGCCAAGTAGTTTTCAGTTCTTAGTTTTAGTCTACCTGAAATGTTCTACATAATTAGGGGCTTTCCAACATGTATGAAATGCTTGTCTTCTAATTTTGTACTTTTTGGAAATAAGAATTCATTTATAAACACTCATCAGTGAAAAGTGAGAAACCAGTTGGATAGAAAAATAGACAAATAAAAGAGATCTATATGTCATACACATCTTCCTAAATCAGCTGAAGAGGGTCTCAGACTAAGGCTGAAAAATACTTTCCTTTTCTAACCTTGGTATATTTTTTGTCAAGTGGTTTCACACTTTTTGCTTTCAATGCACTAAAGTATACTTGCATTTTCACCGATGGTTACTATGAACTGCTTGACCAAAACTATTGCCATTGCTTCCTTCTTTCTCTCAGACACCTCATCTTCCTTTTCTGGCATACCATTTGGAAGTAACCTTTATTTTTCTATTTTATTAATACTTGTGAATTATTATGATGCACAGTTCAGGTCATGCTCACTAGAGTGCTCTGAATCTTGAAATAAATTAAGTTTAAAAATCTAATCTCATACTATAACAAGAACTTCAATGTATTTAACTGGAAACTTATTTAATTCATAGCTTAAAATATATTCATATTAGTTTATGTAAGAAATTTTTAAATGTGTGCATTTTAAAACACAATTGTGAACTTGACAGGTTCTGCACATTGTGGACCAGGTGATAGTGCCCACGGTAGCCAAGATTGGAGCCAATACCACTACAGGTATTGCTGCTGGTTTTATCACCCCAGATGCACAGAAGCTGCTGCTGAAGCCTCAGCTTTATGGACTTGTGGATAACTATTCAATCTCGTAAGATCACCATGGAAAGGCTATTTAGCTACAGTATCTCCTTTTATTAGGTCAAGTAATTTAGTACAGTTCTAAATTCCTATCTTAATTTACATGAGGTGGCTGCATTTATGCTTGCTTCTTTCTGATGGCTTATGAGTAGGAAAAATATTTTGAGGTTATATTATTATTTTGTACTGATATACAGGGGAACCTCTACTTACGAATTTAATCCATTTCGTGACCTTGCTTGCATCTGGATTTGCTCGTTTGCAGAGTCAATTTTCCTCATTTAAATTAATTGAAATGCAATTATACAGTAATTTGTTCCGTTTCTCAGGAGGCACAACAAAATACTTCAATAATTTCCCTAATATCAACTCTATGGCTTATTTATCTATCATAGTTCATCTAATATGACATAATAAACAATATTAATAACAAAGAAACATGATATATACACTAGAATGAATGAAATATTATGTATGTGAGTAGTGGTAGTGGAGGCAGCAGCACCACAGCGGCCATTCCTGCTCTTGACTACCTTCCCATGCTGTTATAATAACAGAAAATGGAGTGTTTGTAAGGCAAACTGCATTAGATAACACCATAGTTTCATAAGGAAAACAGTAATAATAATTCTACACTTTATCACTTCACTATTCACTGCTTTAATTCCATGTAAATCATCCTCTTTTCTTCTCAGTACTGTCCTTTTCACTTGCTTTTTTTTAGGACCCATGGTTAGAAACAAGAAATTTTGCAAAATAACTGCACACATAAGGAAAACATGAGAATTTCCCTCCACTGCAAGTTAAGCACATGTGGACTGAGTGTTGTTTAGATAGCCACCACGCCATCTCATGGTGGCGATCTGAAACTCACTTATAGTATTATTATTATTATTATAATTATTATTAGTTATTAGTATGTATGTATTCTTATAATAATTTATATTACGTATATTATTACATATATAATTATTATATTATACATATTATTATGAAGGGGTTCAGGGAAACCGGCAGGCCGGACTTGAGTCCTGGAGATGGGAAGTACAGTGCCTGCACTCTGAAGGAGGGGTGTTAATGTTGCAGTTTAAAAACTGTAATGTAAAGCACTCTTCTGGCAAGACAGTGATGGAGTGAATGATGGTGAAAGTTTTTCTTTTTCGGGCCACCCTGCCTTGGTGGGAATCGGCCAGTGTGATAATAAATAAATAAAAATAACATTATTATTTATTAGTATGTATTCTTATAATAATTTATATTATACTACTAATATTATTACAGTGTACCCTCGGGTAATGCCTTTAATACGTTCCAGAGAGCTAGCCTGTAGCAGAATTAATTTTCCCCATAAGAAATAATGGAAATCCAATTAATCCATTCCAGACACCCAAAAGTATTAAACAAAATCATTTTTTTTACACGAACTATACATTTCCCTACACAGAAAACAATGATACATGCACAATAAACAATACTGAAATGACACTTACAGTGGTCCCTCGTTTACCATTGTTAATCCATTCCTGGAAGTGCGACAATTATTGAAATAGATGATTTTCGAATAAATTTTCCCCATAAGGAATAATGTAAATACAATTAATCCGTTCCTGACACCCAAAAGTATTAAAACAAAAAAAAATTTTACATGAAATATAGGTGTAGTACATAAACAGTACAATGGGACATGATGAATGAAACATTAACAGCATAACACTTACTTTTATTGGCAATTCTTCTTAGTGTATGGAAGACTGGACGAGGAGAGAGATTGGATTAGTTATTGTTTGGAAAGGGAATCCCCTTCCATCAACATCTCAGGTACCAAGTCCTTTTCTGGGGTTACATACTTCTCTTCTCTGTTTCTTAATGCCACTAGGACCAGCTTGAGAGTCACTGGAGTCCTGTCTCGCAAAAAAAGTGTCCAGAGAGCTCTGTTTCTGGCGTCTCTTTAAAACTTCCCTAAAATGGGCCAAGACTGTCACTGTACAAGTTGCCAATATGGCTTGCAGCATCCTTCTCAAGATGATGTTTCTCCATAAATCTTTCCATCCTACCCCACATTTCAAAAATCTCCTTAATTTCTGAAGAAGGCACCTTCTGTCTCTCTTCCTCCTCCTCTGCAGCAAGATTCTGAGTTGCGATCTGTTGCTGTTCCTGCTGAAGCTCTTGCAGCTCGTCAGTGGTTAGCTTTTTGCTGTGGTCCTCCACCAACTCTTCCACATCCTCCAAACTCACATCCAACCCCATGGAACTCCCCAATGCCACAGTAGATTTCACAACTGACATAGGCTCATCAGGGTCAGTCACAAACCCTTCAAAATCCCTCTTGTGGACACAATATGGCCACAATTTTCTCCAAGCAACAACAGCTTCCTTGATTTCCATTTTCTTTGCCACTATGGAAGATGTGGTTGAATGGGGATTGTTATACATCCTGGCCAGTTCGGCCACACGTACACCACTTTCATATTGTTCAATGATGTTTTTCTTAAATTCAATCGTATTTCTCACCTTCTTTACCAAAGGCTTGGCACTAGGAGCTTTCTTTGGAGCCATGGTTGCTTATTTAGCACTTGCAAGAACTAAAATGAATGGAATATTATGAAATATTTCGTATGAACAAGTGAGGGGACCGTCGCTCACTGGTAAACAATGGCACACTGGCTGGGAAGGGAGGCCGAGGCAGCTCAGAGCCGTGAGTACGCGTCCAGGATGAACGATGATTAGTGAATCAACCGACCATTTGCGAGCCAATGTTTGGACGAAAATAACGCGACGATTTCCGAAAAGGATGACTATCGAGCCCGATGATTATTGAGGGACCACTGTACCTTTATTGTGGACTTGTTGATGAGTGATGAGACGGGAGGAGGGGAGAGGATGAAAGTGTACTAGTGTTTGGAAGGGAAATCCCCTTCCATAAAGACTTCAGGTAACAAGTCCTTTTCTGGGGTTACCTCCCTTCTTGGTTTTTTAATGGCACTGGGAGCAACTTGAGAGTCACTGGACCCCTGTCGCACAAAATATATGTCCAGAGAGCTTTGTTTCTCGTGTCCATTTAAGATTTCCTTAAAATGGGACACAAGAGTGTCATTATACATGTTGCCAATATGGCTTGCAACAGCTCTGTCAAAATAATATTCATCCATAAATGCTTGCAACTTTGTCCACATTCTACACATTTCCTTAATCTTTGATGAAGGCAACTTCCTCCGTCTCTCTTCCTCCTCCTCTGAAGCACATTCCTGAGCTGTGATCTGTTGCTGTTGCACCTGAAGCTCTTGCAGCTCTGTAGTGGTTAGCTCTTCATCGTTGTCCTCCACCAATGCTTCCACATCCTTGCCACTAACCTCCAACCCCATGGACTTCCCCAATGCCACAATAGATTCCACAACTGGCATAGTCTCCTGAGGGTTAGCCCAACCCTTCAAAATCCCTCTCTTGTGCACATTCTGGCCACAATTTTCTCCAAGCAGAGTTCAAAGTCCTGCAAGTCACTCCCTCCCAAGCCTTACCTATAAGGTTTATGCAACTGAGGATACTGAAGTGATCTTTCCAGAACTCTCCTGGGGCCAATTCAGTGTCTGAGGTACACTTCAAAGCACTTTTCAATTTAAATTCAAATTCAAAGTTTATTCTCTATAAGGATTACAATGCTGAGTTTACAGAATATGGGTATTGTGTCGTTTACATGTAGTAAAATAATAATTACAGAGTGTACCACTAGAACACCTAACATGGCTAGGCATTTCGGGCAAACTTAGTTTAAATCTTAAATTTAAAATATTACAAAGTATGAGGTAAGTTGGTATTATGGCTAAGTGACTAAATACTAGTTTGTGAGTTTAGCAATGTGAATGCTTTTGTTTTGGCACAATACATAGTTTCAGTATTGGAGTATCACAGGCCAACTTATGACTAGTTAGGATTCATTATTTTAAGATTGAGATTGATATTTCTTTTTATGGTCAAATGGGTGAGTGTAAGTGTGAACCACCAGGTGGTATTCGTGTAATTAGTTGACAGGGTGTATCAGGGAGATAAGATGTTTTCTAATGGTAGTTTTGAAGGTGATGAATGTGTCTGCAGCTCTAGAGTTTTCAGGTAGGGTGTTCCAGATTTTAGGGCCTTTGACATGTATTGAATTTTTGTAAAGGTTTAGTCAGACACGGGGAATGTCATAGAGATGTTTGTATCTGGTGTTATACCTGTGGGTTCTGTCACAACTATCAAGAAAGCATTTTAGGTCAAGGTTAATATTGGAATTTAAGGTCCTATAGATGTAGACTGCACAGTAGTAAGTGTGGATGTACTGAACAGGGAGTAAGTTTAGATCTATGAAGAGTGGGGGGGTGTGTTGCCAGGGATGGGATTTAGTGATTATTCTTACTGCGGCTTTTTGTTGGGTTATTATTGGCTTTAGATGTGTTGCTGCAGTTGATCCCCAAGCACAAATAGCATTGGTGAGGTATGGATAAATAAGTGAGTGGTACAGTGTGAGAAGGGCATTTTGCGGCACGTAGTATCGTATCTTGGAGAGGATCCCAACTGTTTTGGATACTTTTTTGGTTATGTGTTGGATATGGGTGCTGAAATTCAGGTTGTTGTCGAGGTATAGGCCTAGGAATTTGCCCTCATTATGTCTGGCAATTAGAATGTTGTCGATCTTAATGTTAATTTGCGCAACTCCTGCTCTGCTACCAAACATAATGTAGTAGGTTTTGTCAGTGTTAAGCGTAAGTTTATTGGCTGTCATCCAAGTCGATATTTTACACTGCTTTGGTGTATAGTTTTTTGAAGTTTGAAATGACCTGCTGGTCCATGGGCTGGAGCAGAGGAGTGGTATTAGGAGGCAAAAACTTCACTTTGATAAAGCTCAACTCCCCTGCAATTTGCTCTTGCAAGTCCTGAGGATGAGCAGGAGCATTATCTATTACCAGGAGGCACTTGAGTGGCAATTTATTTTCCAGGAGGTACTTTTTCACAGTGGGGCCAAACATGTCATAGAAC